TAGTGTTCGGAAATTATCCTCTATCAATAATATTTATATATATATGAATTGGATTTGTGATAGTCAAGGTTTTATTTACTTTAATATGTATATTAATAAATTATGTTTATGATTATAATAATTATTTATTATTATTAGAAGTATCACCAGGTTGTAAGGCTTATCGATTAAATGATATGAAATTAATTTCATGGTTAAAGACCAAGGTAACTTGGCTATTAATACAAATAATTATTTGATTTGAACAATATGTGTATAGTTTAATTATTATTATTGTTGTTATTATTATTAGATTTCAAATTTATTATCAAAATTTGATGAATTTGAATCTTTAAAAAAATTAATTGAACATTTGGATAATCATACAATAAATGAGCAACTTCGTCAAGGTATATATGTATAATATCAATAGGACTTAAAAATAAATATTAAAATAATTTATCATCATTAGAAGTTCGTTTAAAAACAGTTTTGGAAATTATTATGGAATATCTACCATATAATTGGGCAAATCAATTGAAAATAGAGTACAAGTGAGAAAATTTCCTATGTACATATGCCATTAGATGGACAAGTTCTAATTCTTTCATTATTTTTTATATTATTATTAAGATATGATGAACTTTGTAAATTAGAAGGTCAAGATGTTGTCTATGTAAAGGATATTCCAATTAATTATGTTAAGAAGCAAGGCATTGAAAATAAACAACCAGAATCTGTTAAGGTGAATAAAAAAATTTTTATTCCATTTATTTTCTAAAAAAATATTTGATTAAAAACTTATCCATCAACAAATTAATTATTTCATTCATTGATCATATCATCATCTATTTGTCATTTATCTTTAAAACAGAAACGTAAATTGACAACTGGTGTGACTTCATTGGCAAAAGTTAATACTAGAGGAATGAAAAAAATGACAGATTTTTTTAAAAAACCAAAAAATTAAAAGTTGTAAATAATTATATATAACCCTGATAGATGAACAAGAGAAATAAATAAAGAATCCATTTCATTCAACATCCAATTGCATACCCCTAGCAGTGTTGGTTTTTTATTTACCTTGGACAATATATTCTTGAGGGGCAAGTTTTCTAACTTGTTGGAGAGAAAATGTCTAAATAATTCCTGGCACTGCCCATAGATTGCTAGAAATTCTGATTAACTATTTTGTATTAAATACAATCAAATCTCATTGAATTTAACAATCCAAATTTTTGTACTTTTACAGATGCAATTCTTGTGGAATGACTCAAAACATTAATGGATGCCAGTTTATTTATAATAAATTTAAGAAGCAAATGGATTTGGAGAGTAGAAGCTGAATGTACTATAGGCAATGTAAAAGATAAAGTGAAGGTATTTATTCTAAATGATTTATGCTAGGGTTAATGTAAAGTTGAGCTGTTGATGGCTGGTTATCAATTTTTTTATCCATTAGATGGGGATACATCAGTACATGGACATCTTTTTGGGAAATAGATATCAATGGCTTAATGTGTGATGATCCTTTGTCTAATGGTGTAATTGACCTTATCTCTAATAAATCCCAATTATCTGAGAGTGACTTTGATTTATTTGTGAGGGGAAGCAAAGATGCTTTAATAAAAAATGTTTGTTAGAAGAAGAAACAAATTTCAAGAAACATATAAATCTGCAGCAGCAGGAAATGTGACCATGGTTCATAATCACTGTGTTGAGCAAGAAAATGGGATTGCAAGAGTGCCTCATGCAATTAATAAAAACAAGTTCTTTCTATCAAATTTCTAGGGGTTCTGAAAACACTCCTGTGGGAGTAATAGCTTGTCTAATCAATGTAGCTATATATCAACTATTAATTAATAGCAAAGTTGAGGTGACAAGAAATGAGTGCCAGAGTGTGGCCAGTAAGAATTGTAAGGCCAAACTAAAGAATGGCACAAGGGGTAATAGACCAGATTTTATATGCTGAAAGTGGTAAATGGAAATTGCAACAAAGAAAAAATACTTGACAATCATAATAAATTGGTGAGATTCTGTATAGATGACTGTAAAGAGGTTTCAAAAAAGCATCTGAAAGATGATCTATGAAAGAATTATATTGCTTTCAGGGTTAATATTGCAGGTAAAATTATAAATTGTATATTAATAATTCATATAATAAATACTTGATAATGATATAGTAATAGGTACTCAAGCCTCAAACTTTTAAACCATCAGTTGTAATAATGTAACTATTTATTGTTAGGAAAAAAATTAAATGAACGAATTTATTTGAGGTAAAATTCTTGATTTTTTATTACTATATTATTTAGATGATAATAAAATAAAATGTTAGACAATATATATAAATACTTGAATATAAAATAATGATAACAACAATAATAATAAAGTGACAGGTCACTTCAATCACAAGGAAGAGTTTACTCTAATTTAAAATAGGCAAAACATAAAGCATCTAATATTTATTTAAAAAATGATAATAATGAGGTATTTGTAACTTCCTTATAATGATAAGCCTAATGTAAAGATTCCAATAATCAGATGAATAAAATTTATTCATAAATTTAAATATCTAAATCCATTTGATTAGACTCTATAAATATAATAATTTATAACATAATAAAAATAATATTAATGTTGAAATTGATATTTAATTTTAAAATCAATAAATAAATAATGATAATTACCATTCAAATTCATTTGATTAAAATCTATAAACATGATTAATTTAATTAAAATTAATATTAACATTGATATTGAATTTAAATCAATAATCAAATAGTTACCATTATTAATACTATCTGAATCAATTTGATTAGATTCTATAAAATGATTATTTAAAAATAATATTAATGCTGATATTGAATTTTAAGATTAATAATCAAATAATTGATAATTACCATCATTGTTGCTAATAATTGTAACTTTATTGGAGTTTACAGGTTGAGGAAGATTTGCAAAATTCAATAATCTACTTGTATAAACAGCATTTGGATGAACAGTTGCTGTAATTGTTGAAGGATTAAAGGGTTTTTCATCTGCTTCCTTGAATACTTTTCCCATTTTTTCTAATTCATCAAACTGTTTTTCAGGATATTTATACTAATATTTATAAATTGCATCTTTCCAAAAACCAATAATTTTTAAAATTTCATTTGCTGTTGGTCTTTTATCAGGATCAGCATCTGTGCATCTGTATGCTAACTTAATATAACATTCTGGAGTATTATCTGAAAAACTAGGCCTTAAGCCACTACAGATCCTACAAGCAAGATCTAGATCATGTGGTTGATCTTTGAATGGTTGTTGATGTGTTGATGTTTCTGACATTAAAATCCCAAAGCTATAGATGTCAGATTTTTGTGTGTAAGGTTTCTTATTTAAAACTTCTGGTGCAACATATGGAAGTACTCCATATACACCATTTTTACTTGATGGTTCTTGATCAGCTGGGCATGATAACCCTAAATCTGCAATCTTTGCCTGGTTGAATATTTAAAATATAAAATATTACCACTATGAAGATCACAATGCATAAGCCTTTCTTGGTGAAAGATGCTTAAACCTGAAATAAGATTATAAAGTATTTCAATTTTATCACCCCATCCTATATAATTTGATTTTATATAATTTTTAAAACTTCCATCCTTTGCATATCTCATTACTAAAATATATCCTTTTGTATCTGGATCTTGTGAAATACCATAATACTAACAATCTCCCTATGACCAGGCCCTATACATTTAATGTGATTTTGAAGCTTTTGTGAAAATTAATAAAAATTTAATACATTATTTGAAAACCATTAATTGTCATTATATCAAATTATTTACCTCTTTTAAAAACCCTTCAGAAATATTTTGTGAGTTTTTATTTTTAAACTTTTTTAATGCTACATCACCACCTTTCAAATAATATCTTTTATTATCATTAATATACCTAGGACCATTTGACCAGCAACCCTTATATACAATTGCAAAACCACCTTCACCTATTACTTCTTTGACTGTGAGTTGGTCATAAGGAATCCATTCAAGGTAATAATGACTATTAAATCCTTTTGCTTCAAACTGTGTATTTCTAATCATTTCATCTAATTTTTCATTACCACTGCTAGTCCAATTTTGAGCCAACACTTTGGGATCACATGATTGACACTACTGGCAATTAGTATTATGTCTTCCACAAACAGAACAGGTTCCATATTTTTCTTTTCTTTCATTAGTAATATCTAATTATTCAATAATTTTTTATTATAAAAAATTAAAAATAAAATAGCATTTATTTTTCAACATAATAAAAATAGGCTTGAAGTAAAAATTATAAAAAAGTTGATTATAATACAATACTTACCATCTGGTTATTATAAAGAAATAAAAATAAATTTATTTAATTAGATGATGTTTTATTTTGTGTTGTAAAAGTTAATATTAATATTAATATTATAAAGAAATAAAAAAATAAATGTATTTAATTAGATGTTTTAATAAAATTTATTTAAGTTAATTTATAATATTTACCATTATAGAATTTAGCTAAACATTATTATAAAGCAAAATATTAAGATAAAAAATCCTACTATTATTATATTTTTAAAAAAGTTATAAGAAAAAATACCTTTATTCATTTTTATTATATGGGAAACAGGGGTGTTGCAGTGAAATTTTTAAAAAATAAGACTTCACGTGATTTAGGTTTCTTACTTCCAAATTTAGATATGATCGACGCGAGCTAGTTTAAATTTAGTAATGATCTAGTGGCCTGAAAAGAATAGAACTCTATACAGTCTGCCCTTGTTTCAACGAAGTGGCTGTAGGGAACAGGAGAGACCGTCCTATATAAGGAATGGATTTTCACAATTGATTTCATTTTTTTTTATACAGTTTAAAATACTTTTACAAGGGTATCATGTAGCCCATTCTTGCAATAAATCATGTGTAAATAAT